TTCCTGCTGGAACCACCCTGGACTCTGGGCATCTGGAGGTCTGTGCTTCCACCACCACCCTTCTGGACACGGGGGAGTCCGGCCTCTACCTCCTAACCCATGGGCAAATCTCTGAGGGTGGGGTTCCAGTGTGGAACCCTGGCTTCCAGCTCCCCTAGTCCCAGACACCCAGACCCCCGCCTTCGGCTGGTGGGAATGGATGCGCCCTGTGTTAAGGATACCTTGAAGTCTGGCCCTTGGCCTCAGGTGGGGGAACATGATGGCGGGATCCCAGGCTGCCCAGGGCAGCTGGAAACCAGTAAGGGAAGGATGCAGTAGAACCCACTCATGCAGAGCCAGGGTGAGGACTGGTGAGGGAAGGGGGCCAGGATGGCACGACCTGCCCTAGCCACCTTACCTCCCACCTAGACCCAGACTGACTGAGCTGTTAAGGCAGGGATAAGAAGGAAGCGTCCCTCTGAGAGGGACTCTCCGATAGGAAACAAGGAAGCTGCCTGGATATCTGGGGTCTGCCATCCTTTCCATCCCAGGAAAGCCTCCAGTCAGGCTAGCTGGAACAGGTGGGTCCTTCTCTGACTTTCCCATCAGTTTTGGGCCAGCCCTGCCTTAGCTACAGGCTGTTCCTCTGTTTTCTGAGGATCTGGTCCTCCATGGCCCTGACCTTTTGTTTTCCCTCTCTCCTCCAGGTGAAGGCGAGGTCCCTGGGCTGATCAGACATCCCCTTGCAGTCTTGGCAGAGCCAGGGTGAAATGCCCCCCAGTGAAATCTGCAGTCTGAGCAGGTAGCATGGCCTGCCACTGGCAGTGAACACCATGGCTGCAGGAGGTGGCCAGGCCTTTACTTGGCAGGTATTCCCCCCCATGCCCACTTGCCGGGTCTATGGCACCGTGGCACATCAGGATGGGCACCTGCTGGTGCTGGGGGGCTGCGGTCGGGCTGGACTGCCCCTGGACACTGCTGAAACACTGGATATGGCCTCACATAAATGGCTGGCACTGGCGCCTCTGCCCACTGCCCGGGCTGGTGCAGCTGCTGTGGTTCTGGGCAAGCAGGTGCTGGTGGTGGGTGGCGTGGATGAGGTCCAGAGCCCAGTAGCTGCGGTGGAGGCCTTCCTGGCTGATGAAGGCCGCTGGGAGCGTCGGGCCACCCTCCCTCAAGCAGCCATGGGAGTTGCAACTGTGGAGAGAGGTGAGTGGCTTCCCAAAGACAGTTCCTCAGGTGTCCAACACCCTCCATTCTCTCCTGCTTGGTCCCTTACTCTCAGACATTGCACTAGTGCTAAGACCAGGGCTGAGAGCCCTGGACATGGCCTTGCTCCCTCTCAGACCTAACTCTGAGCTGGCCTTGAAGTAGCCTTTTGGGCTGTGAGCTGGAGGGCAGAGCCCAGGCTGGCTCCCCGGATGATAGGAGGCCCAGCCACCTCCCTGCCCTGTTTCTCATTTTTGAGACGGTGGGGATGGCCTAATGATTCCTATGGTTATAAATAGCTTGTGGTGGGGGAAGGGGGGCAGGGTCTTGGCTCAGAGCCTGGCAAGTGCTTAGCTTCTCCCTGCACACACATACCAGGAACCTGATGTGGACAGAGGCCAAGCCAACCTGGGGACAGTTGCCATGGAAGCCCCTGTTGGATTGCTCACCACCCCAGATGTGCCCCTAGCTGACCCTGAGAACCTAACAGGGCAAGAACCTACTGCAGTGAAGGGGCATGGTGCACAGGTGCTGGCAGCGCTCCCAGGGCGAAGGCTGTGACTAGCACCTCTACCACGCAGGGCCAACCCTCTCTCCCAGCCCCACCCCCATCTGATCTCTAAGAGCCCCCTCCCCACACAAGCTTCATACTGAGCATATTCCCATTTTGCCCCTACCCCTGGCTTAAGGCAGCTCCTATCCTTTCCTTGGGGGATCCCCCACCTTGTGTCCTCCAGGTCTGACCACTGGTCCAGGCCAGCCCTGCTTGGATGCCAGACTTGGTTGCCATAGCGTCTCCAGGGAAACGGAGACAGATTATAATTAGATCGGCTGTCTCCTGCTCTTCTTTAGGAGGGGCCCTGGCCAGAGCGGGAATTCCAGCTCTCCCAGCCCCCACTCCAGGCAGGCAGTAGAGTTTCTGCTGCTGGGGAGGGTTGCCACCCCCAGGCCTGACCAGGGCAGTTGTCAGGCTGGGGATGGCGTGGCCAGCTGGGGTGAAATCTGAACAATCTGAACTACTCTTTTCTTTTCTTTCTTTCTTTTTTTTTTGGAGAGGTTTTTGCTATATGGTGCGTGCGCTCACCAGGACAGAGAGAGACAGAAAGCGAGAAATCACCCCCTGGGGGGATGGCCACTGCAATCCCTTCTCCTCCATTCTCCTCTTGGGATCTTGGGCACGCATGCACGCACGCATGCACGCACACGCGCCTGGCGTTGAGTTTAAGCCACTGGGTCTGGGACGTGAACCGAGGTCGACTACATGGTAGTTCAGCGACATAGTCATTATGCTAACTGCTGGTCCCAACGACTCTTTTCTGTGCAGATGGTATGGTGTATGCTCTGGGAGGAATGGGTCCTGACACGGCTCCCCAGGCCCAGGTACGGGTGTATGAGCCCCGCCGGGACTGCTGGCTTTCGCTCCCCTCCATGCCCACACCTTGCTATGGGGCCTCCACCTTCCTGCACGGGAACAAGATCTATGTCCTGGGTAAGGGCCTGGGGAATGTGGAAAGGAGCTCAGTTTCTTTCTTTTTTTTTTTGGAGAGGTTTTTGCTATATGGTGCGTGCGCTCACCAGGACAGAGAGAGACAGAAAGCGAGAAATCACCCCCTGGGGGGATGGCCACTGCAATCCCTTCTCCTCCATTCTCCTCTTGGGATCTTGGGCACGCATGCACGCACGCATGCACGCACACGCGCCTGGCGTTGAGTTTAAGCCACTGGGTCTGGGACGTGAACCGAGGTCGACTACATGGTAGTTCAGCGACATAGTCATTATGCTAACTGCTGGTCCCAACGACTCTTTTCTGTGCAGATGGTATGGTGTATGCTCTGGGAGGAATGGGTCCTGACACGGCTCCCCAGGCCCAGGTACGGGTGTATGAGCCCCGCCGGGACTGCTGGCTTTCGCTCCCCTCCATGCCCACACCTTGCTATGGGGCCTCCACCTTCCTGCACGGGAACAAGATCTATGTCCTGGGTAAGGGCCTGGGGAATGTGGAAAGGAGCTCAGAGTCTGAACGTTTCCATCTCCATAGGGATCAGTCTGAGTCCAGGATGGTAGGACAAAATTTTATTGGGGTAATGCAGGCCTGCTCCAAGGCTCTGAAATCTGGTGGCTTTACTGGGGCTGGAAAATGAAACCCCAGGGAAGAGGGTCTATGGGATGGATGGTCCACGCAGATGTGTAGACAGCTGGGTGTGGGAGGCTGAGTCAGGCAGATCTGCAACCTGGCGAGGAGCTTGCCAAGCCCCTGGGCTCCCTCCAAAGCACCCCAACAATTCTATTGACAGGGGGTCGCCAGGGCAAGCTCCCTGTGACTGCTTTTGAAGCCTTTGACTTGGATGCCCGTACCTGGACCCGGCACCCAAGCCTGCCCAGCCGCCGGGCCTTCGCTGGCTGTGCCATGGCCGAAGGCAACGTCTTTAGCTTGGGTGGCTTGCAACAGCCTGGGCCCCACAATTTCTACTCCCGCCCACACTTTGTCAACACTGTGGAAATGTTTGACCTGGAGCATGGTGAGCAGTGGCTGCCCTGGGCGGGCTTCCCACTCTCTGTGACATGCAGGGTGGGGGGAATAGAGAGTGTGTAGCTAGATCCAACTTCCCCTTTCCTGCAGGGTCCTGGACCAAGCTGCCTCGCAGCCTGCGCATGAGGGATAAGAGAGCCGACTTTGTGGCTGGCTCCCTTGGGGGACACATTGTGGTCATTGGGGGCCTCGGTAAGTCTTTGTGGGACTACAAATAGG